GGAGTCTCTGCTTCAGCTCCTGGTAGAAGGGGAAGAAGCAAGATTGGACAGGGCAAAGCAAACCTACACAAGACAGATTTATCTTCTGTGTTCTCACTGTAGTAAGTTCAGGTTTGTGACAGACACGTGGTAGGTTGTTACCACCTCTAGCCCACCAGACTTTTTGTCTGCTCATGATTCAGCTTTGGAAGGGTTGCTATTTCCAGCTAGTGCATCACATTGGCTAAGTAAGTACTCCAGGTTGAAAACTGAGTAGCTTGGGAGCTGGTTCCTGTATCAAATAGTGCTGTTTTAAAGGTGAAGATGCTCTTTATAGCACAAGCAGTTGGAATTAAATTTTCTTTTGTTACTGTGTCTGTTAGAACTTGGAGTAGCAAAATTTAATTGTACTGTCAGATAGTAGTAGTCTGCTTGTAACTTGGCTTGTTACCCAGCTGCTGCTAGAACTAGGTAGCATAGGATCCTAGCTGCAATCCATTACTGGGAATCACAACTTCTGTTTAGGTAGATCTGAGTCCAAATAAAGTATCACACTGACTGCTGGTAGGAGGTGGGTCGATAACGAGTTCTACGTGCAAGTACTTGGTTTTTAGTGTCTGATGTGAGTTTTACAGAGAGGTAGAAGTGTGGGTTCGAAGAGCTGTGTATGCAGTGAAAAGTACTTGAGATTTGTAATCTATTGTAGTGACAATTGTATTTCAGCTGCTTGACCTTTCCTTACCCAGATGATCCCCGAATTTTTCATTTATTCAGACTGGTATTAACAAATGCTAGGCATTAAATTAGATTGCAAAGCTGATATCCCAAAAGAAAGGGAGGAGGGGAATGTGAATTGTTGAAACCATTTGGTATGTAAAAAGGTTCCAAAGAATAGAAACTGTGTGTAGTTCCAGGCCTAGAAGTACATTCCTGTTGAGTAAAAGAAATAGGAAATTGACTTTTTAAAGGGAAAAGATAACAAAGGAGGATTCTGCCTTTAACAGAGGGAAGTACAGGTAATGTGGGTGGCTGCTTCTCTGCCCACCCCCCTGCTTGCTTTAGAACTCAGCTTTAGAGGCAGCACCAAGAAGGTGGGGTTCACTGCTTGAGCTGCTTTCTCAATCCAAAACCTAATGACACTTAATTCTCAGTCATTGCCCGACTGATAGGAAGAAGCATAGTGTGTGTCAGATAAAATATAATGAATCTTTTGTTATGTTTATAGTCTAGTGTCTACGACTGCAGTAATAAGTTAACTTTTTGCTCTGCATAATGTTTCCAGTGTTGCCCGGAGCACTTATCTAGAGATAAGATACTTAAGTGAGCTGAGGAGTGTGATTTGCCTCGTCCACAGCCCCTCCAAAGAAGCAGTGGTCATAGACAGGTTTGTGAGCATTATGTCTTCCAGGAATCTGCAAACCTGCATACTGAGAGGAAATAGTTCATTTTTCCAGGAACTCAGTTTTTCCTGCATGTAGTTGAAGACATTCTCATGTGTTCCTAGGGCAGGACCACCTCCAAAGAAAACCGATGTTTCATAAGAAAGTACCTTTATGTGTAGAAAAATTCTTCCTAGTTACTCGATCTGCTTCATATGCATATATCTTCAAAATAATTTAACTTATGTGTGAAGAATTTAGTGATAATAGCTAGATCTGAGACAACTGACTTCTAGATCACCGCTTAAGCTAATTACGTTAGAAAAAACTTTATGTAAACTGATCTGAACAAGTTATATTATGTAGAAGGTTCGAAAATTGTATTTTGTGTCAAATAGAAGTATGGAAGAACTCTAATCTTCTTAGAACTTATATCCCTTATTCGAATAAAGGAGCTAAATCATGTGATCTGTATGGCCATATACCACTAATTTAATACCTGGAATTTTAGGCAAAGTTTTGTAGGACTTTTTTTTCTGTGGAATCTGGGAACTCTTCTCTAATTTACCATTTGTTCCTATGCCAATTTTAGAGTTGCCTATTTCAAAAGCTTTCTTACTCTAGCTGAAGGAAAAATTCACAGATGTATTCAAGTATAGGGTTTGCCACCTCTTCAGTACAAATGCCCTCTGCAGCTTATGCTCAAAAATTGCCATAGGTCCTGTTTTTTCTCAACAAGTCAATCTACTTTGCTTTAATGCAGCTTGGTTGCTGTGGTAGCAGCTTTCCTAGATAAGGTATCTGGAAGACAATACTGTAAACAGTGTTTCTACAAGGTTCTTTTGTTGAGTTTTATAGGATTTTTTTTTTCAGTTGGTGGCAGGTGAGCTTGGATAGGAATAGTTTGGAATTGTATAAACCCAAATTAACATTGACTGTAATAGCAGAGTGGGATTTTATTTGGAAAAATGTCGTGTATCATTCAGGAAGTTGGTATTTGCTGTAATATTTCTCTTTCACTGCATGAGCTGTTGTGAGCTGCATAAAGAGCTCTGAAAGTTTCAGGAGTTTTGAAAATGCACAGAAGTCTATAAATTCTGTTCTGAATCAGGCAAACTTGATTTAAGCTACTGGATCCATCACTCATTTTGTTAGTGACATGATAGAATTAATTTATTGTGTGCCATTGTAATACCAGTATTTAAATAGTGACCAGCTGCATTACTAAAATGTGTTACAAAATGTTACAGAATTGTGTATGTTCTTAAGTCAGATTTATACAAACTACCCTTTAAGACAAGAGATGGTAAGAGGATTTAGCTGTCCTTGCTAGGGTAAAGAATTCTGAATTCATTTCATGATAAGCTAATACATAGAAGCAACACCCATGCTGTTTTGTTTTGGTTTTCCCCACCCAGGTGATTCTCAGATAATTGAAATATTCTTAGGGCAAATAATTTCCTAGCAATGTCTAAGGATGGCAGTGACTTTAACATTCAAAAGCAGTTGAGTTGGTGCACAGTGAAGTTCCTTATACAGAGTTTTCTTCCCCAGGACAGAACTGGTATAGGTCAGATAGTTTTTGTAAACTGAATGGGATCATTTAGATGCCATATGTAATTTCTTAATCTTTTTTAAATTTGCTTGTCAAGCAACTGAAATGTTTTTGTACTTGTTATCAAGCAGAAATTGAAGTTGTTACCCTAGAAGTAATATTTTCATATTTTTCATTATTCTCAGAAGCATGGAAATATTTAACTTAGTAAAACTGAATACAGTCCTTCCTTTCTAATAGCTAGACTAGATGCTGAAGACAGTAAGCATTTGGTTTCATCTTCTGAAACTTGATACTCTTGGGATTCACTGAATTTGTCTTTCTGGGTGTTTTGATTGTCTTGGCAGTGATGCTGTATTAGTCTCACTTGGATGGTTTGCCAATCTTCATGACTACTAAGAAGGAGACTTGAGTCCTTTTTTTAAAAAACTATTCTCCTGAAATTTAGCAGTTCCAGAGCATTTTTAGCTATTCTTTTTATAATTGCATGATACTGTGAAATTTCTGTAACTACAATGTTAATGCTCCATTCAGGGTAACATTCAGTATGGAATATGATGCACTTAGGAGATTTAACACAGGAATTCCATTGTCTGTCCTGCCTGAACACAAAATGTGTTCCAGGCACTGCTTAAATTTTATGATAACGTGCAAACCCTAAGATTTATGGAATAATGTCTGAGAACTTGTTTTTGTTAAGAACACCCCAGAAATTATTCTCCACCTTAGCTAACACTGGTTCAGTTCTCACCATGCCACTCTAGCAGACATTAATTATATGGGCTGTTGAGTTCTTTTTAAAGATATTGCTGCATAATCCTGCTGGGTTTAATTGAGAGGGTTACTGACAGTATGGCAGCTCCTGACGTCCTTAAATGATAGCTCTTATTGTAGCACCTCTTGGTGGATAAGATGAAATTATACTGGTATATAGAGAGATGGGGAGAGATTTAAGTGTTTTATCTTAATAAGGTAAGAATTTTGTACTGTGGTTATCTTTGTGTGTATGTCAAACCAGACTTTTCCATGTAGTGTGTAAAATTTTTAAGGATCTTAAGAACTGTCATATGACTGGGACAGGCAAACAGATCACCAAGACTCCTTTAAGTACAACTCAGCGGTGAGGAAGGTAACTCAAGTTCCTCATAGTCAGTGTTAGAGGAAACAGAATTATTCATTGGGAAGATAAGACTGTGTGAAAGAAAGCAAATATAGCAGTTCTGGCAGTTCTCTCTCTATAGAATAACTGAGGGGTTAGCAGAGGTTGGTTATTTATCCTAGGCAAAGTAGCAACACTACAGTTTGTCTTAAGTTCTAAATAGGTAGTAATTATGACTATTATAACTTATCTAATTCTTTTTGTAACATTTTGTTTGAACGAATGAAGGATGGGAAAATATCCTGTGATTATAAAACACCAATTGACTTATCACACAGTATCTAGAGTTTCAGGGAGGAAATGTTGGTACTTGGAAACTAGAAAAGAAAAGAATATTTTTAAATGGTGCCTGTAGTGCAGCCCTTGCTCTTTATTGCTCAGCCACAGCTTTGAGACTTACCTGTGGCTTTCCCTGCTTTGGGAATTCCTCAGAATTTTGGTTTGCTAGTTCAGAAAACAACTTACGAAAATGTTGCTAGCATATATCAATAGGTGGCTGGTTGTCTGTTCATATCACATTGGTGTATTTTAGCAAAGGGGAAGAAATCATTATGCTTTAGATCCTGTCAGCACTGAAAAACTCAAACTTCTAATGGTTGAAACCAAGAAATCATTTAATTTGAGAAAAAAAAGATGAATCATTCTAGCCATATAGCTTTTTGGAGTGATGAAGTAAATAGGACTTGATACCTGTGGAAAACAAACAGTGACATGAGTAGATGGTTTAAAATACTACGACATACGTCACTTTGTGGTGACCACTTGGATTTCCACTTCAGAAGAACTTGTAGAAACATGGTAAACTGAAATAAAAGAAAAAGTCTCTTAATGACATTTGTTGTGGCTCCATATTCACTTTGTAGATGCCAAGTTAAGTAGTCACAGGGTTTTTTACTGACAATGAGATTCTTTTTCTGTTCTTTGACAGCCACGAGCTGTCGCTGGTTTTCGAGGAACGGTACGATACGCATCCATCAACGCCCATAGGAACAGAGTGAGTGTCTCAGTCTGTCTCATAGCCATCTCGTAGCTGAAAGCAGTCAGTAATGCAGTTGCTGTTTTCCTCTTTTGTATTCTTATGTGTGTATTTATTATGCAGAAATTAATACTTACAAATTTGGGGAAAGGATAATAGACTTTATGGTAGTTGAAGGTAAGAAAGCTCTTGTAGAAATAATAGTGGGTTTAATACTTACCTTTGATCTTCAAGTGTGTTGTAAGTTAATAAATTAAAAAGGTGACGTTACAGAGTTTTATGAAATACATAATGTCCAGTATGTTGTCTTAGCATTTCTTGTAGAAATAATAGTGGGTTTAATAGTTACCTTTGGTCTTCAAGTGTATTGTAACTTCACCTTTTTAATTTATTAACTTACAGAGTTTTGTAAAATACATAATGTCCAGGATGTTGTCTTAGCATCATACACTAAAGAAATCTGAATAAATAGCTCCTTCAGTATAGAGATTTGCAATGTTACTTTAAGACACTTCAACTCTGTTTTGTTTCCCTGTATCTTCTATGGAATCTCACTTGCACGTTTCTACTTAAAGTAATTGCTGGAATCTATATGAAATGGTTTTGTACCATTGATTGTATTAATTTTATATATATAATAACTTAAGTCTCCAGAGCAGTAGATAATCTACCTTGCCTTTTGTCATATGGGTATTTGTAAGATGCATTAGAGGAATGTTTCTTTTTCACAGGAAATGGGTCGGCACGATGACCTCTGGTCCCTGTTCTATATGTTGGTGGAGTTTGTGGTCGGGCAACTGCCTTGGAGAAAAATAAAAGATAAGGTAAACCTAGAAATGAAATCAAAGAGCATGAGGGAGATATATGTTGGCATTGCAAGTGAATGCTGTGACAAAGATTCCACTAAGAACCACTTTCTCATTAATTTTAACATTACATTTTCCAGTGTTTTCTAGTCTTAGTTCTCATTGCTAGTGTCGTAGTATAAAAAGCAATCAAGTTTTACCAACTGTTCCAGGTAGGAAGTGGGTTGTGCTTCTAGTGTGCAAATGTTTTAAAAGGCAACAGTAAGTGGATATGTGCCACTTATTTAATTTTCCTGTTTTCACCTGAGTACTTTTTGATTTCACCTATCACATATTTAGAATTTCTTACCTATTTTAATTATTTGTAAAATGGGAATTTATTTGCTGGTGAAGAAAAGTGAACCAAGTTAATATGCAGTAGTGCCTTTAGTCATATGTCATAGGTGAGGTGTGTGATGAAACAACACCCAGTTCAACCATTATTACGTCTTTCAACTTCTTTTGAAATTAGCTTGAAATGAGGTTACTCTCTGATGTGTTTTATGCATTGGTAGGTGACAATGTGGTATTACACACCTTACATGTACATCCATTGTGTGTGTACACAATGCTAACGTATAGGTAGCATCTCTTGATTTTGATTTATTCATCTACACTAAACAGGATTTACTGATCTTATGCAATATACTGTGATGAAGAAATATACACCAAGAAGTGATTGGACTTCAGATGATGCAACAGGATATTTAAATCATTAAAACACTCTTTTTAGAAGAGTTGGAGTATCTAATGACAGTCCTTGATACCAGACAGCATTCAAACACAGAAGAAAATTAAATGGCTTTTCATACTAAGTTTGAAATTTGTACATTATTTTGCATGTGTACTGAGGGCAATGACAGAATCTCTTACCTTGCTATCTGTTGTAGAATTGCCTTCCTCAGTACTATTGAGTGTAACGTACCTCCTCAGGACTACTGAGTGCAATTTACTTACACCTCTCTGGCCAGTAGTGTGTTGAATGGCTGTAAGATGCAAAGTGAATATGTTGCAGCAGAGAATGAAGATGTGTTAATGTTTGTTGTGTTATTTACTCCTAGGAACAAGTGGGCTCCATTAAAGAGAGATATGAACACAGACTTATGTTGAAACATCTTCCTCAAGAATTCAACGTCTTTCTGGACCACATTTCTAATTTAGATTACTTTACAAAGCCTGATTACCAGGTAGACATTTTTACTACTTTGACTTTATGATTTTTAAATAACAGAATTTTATGCTGTTTCATCTTAAATTTCTTTTGATTTCTTTGTGCAGTCTTGGTAGTGATTATGAACTGTGACACCACAACATAATTTTAATGAGCATCTAGTGCCATGGACACTTTGCAGTTCAAAGATGTAGTTTTCTTCTATGTTTGGGAAGAGAAAAGCAGTTAGGTTTCTAAAAACAATTGACAGTTGCTTTGCAGTCAGTATTCTATTAGGATCAGGTGCTATCCTACTGTTGTAGCCTCTGGTGAGGACTCCTTAAGTTGAATCCATCAGATTGTTTTCTCAGTGATAGTCATTCTGGCAGTTAGTACCTATAATATATACAGCTCAAGCACAACATGCAGCAGTGGTGGGTTTTTAAGACTGAATTATTACCTACAGAGATCATCAGAAAACGGTAATTTTAATTTGCTTAAGAAAGTATTGTCTGCTGAAATGGACAACTTCAGCTTGGTGATGAGGTGGTAGGTGCTGAGAGGAGATGCTGTGGAATTTTTTTTTTTTTTTAATAAAACAGATTTTTGTGTATCTTGACTTTGAAACCTTGGAAAATGAGAAATGGATTATATAAAGAACTGTCCTTTTTCCTATAAACTGTTGTCAGTCAGAATCTTAGGATATTTCTTAATTGCCTTGTCTCTTAGACAAAAATGAAGCTTATTAACTTTTTTCTTCATTTTTAGCTCCTCATGTCTGTGTTTGACAACAGCATGAAAACGTTTGGGGTTATTGAAAGTGACCCTTTTGACTGGGAAAAGAGTGGAACTGATGGTTCTCTGACAACAACAACAACTTCAACCACACCTCAGTTACACACCCGTCTTACTCCAGCTGCGATTGGGTACGTAGGCACGTTGTGGTCACTTAAAAAGCAACCAAAAAAGCTAAAAAGCTACAGTACCAAAGGGGAATGGTCTTCATAATTGATTTTTTTTTCCCCTGCAGGTTGTTGAATAGAGGAATGGAGGTTTTGACGTATTTCCCTTTTTAGGGTTCCTGTTTATACTATCCTGAAAGACCAGCGCTGCAGTGCTAAATTTATAGCAATAAAAAATAGTATGTCAGGAAGTTGCATGTAAATTTGCTAGGCCATCCTTTGCTAAATCATATTTCATGAAGCTAAATGATGCGTCCTGAGTTTAACTGCCTGGAAGTAACTCCATGGTTTTCTGTAAGCTTGCAGTAAACTACTAGCTGCAATTTCCTTGTAACTTTGAAAATGAATGTATCTTTATAGGAAATTTTGAAATACATTTTGGTCGTTTAAAATAATAGTTAATGTGGTCTTTGAGACCTTCTGTAATTAAGTTGGATGAGATGTGATATTTAATAATACCCAGATTCATCTCAGGGGATTGGAGAATGTAAGAGGTGTTTATGGGTGAGGAGGAAGAATTTGTATCTCTTCTAGGCCTTGAGTAGGTAACTGTTTTTATCTAAGATTAATGAAAGATGTGATGTGGGAGTTTTGAAAACCACCAGAATTTCATGTAGAATGTATTAATTCCCAGTTTCAAGATAATAAAGTGTTAAATGTCAGTCAGTCAAGACATAAAGTGGTTTTACTAATACACAGGTGTCTGATGTGCACTGTCGAACACAGGGAAGCTGACAGGGTTTTTATGTATGATTCAGTCCTGTTATCACACCAATTACCACAATGGAGTTACTGATAGTCTTGGCTGCAATTAGCAATTTTGGTGACTCTAAAGGACTGACTTCTAATTGACCTTCTAACCTTACCTTTTTTAGGAGTAGAAGTGCTTCAGTTTCAGATCCTGAGTTAAGCCTTAGCCCTATTTAGCCCCATGTCAAGGGGACTACAGACCTGTAACTAAAATGTAATATCTTGGTAGCATTATGCTTAAGTTTTGATTATCAGTAAGTGGACCAAAATAGCGCTTTGGTAAGAATAGTGATTAAAACTGCATTTAACTTGCTGAGTGATCTCTCTTTCTCACACAGTATGTCTTACTATTCTACCAAATTTTGAGTAAAAGGAAACTATATTAAGAAAGTAGCCTTTTTTTTTTTTTTTTTTAAATAAAAAACTGTATGTAGAAAAGTCAGGAGCAAAGTTGAGCCTGAATGCAATCTCTTAACAAATTTTCACAGAAGTTACTTTGAAAACCTTGAAAAACCCAGGTTTTAAATGATTGGGTTTTGTTTTACCCCTTTTGTTATATGACTGAATTAAAGAAATAAACTGAAAGTCAAGAAAGGCGGCTTATATTAAATAATATACAAGCTTTAGTTTTCTACAGAAATATGCTTTTCCTTGGTATTTCTTGTTTGTTCCTTTTAATACAGTAGAAAATCATTTTGAGAAGCACATTAGAATCTCAACATTATTACCTTTCCAATTTTTTTTTAAACTATTTTTGTAGAATTGCCAATGCCACTCCTATCCCAGGAGACTTGCTGCGAGAAAACACAGATGAAGTGTTTCCTGATGAACAGCTCAGTGATGGAGAGAATGGTATTCCAGTTGGAGACTCACCAGAGAAGCTGCCTGGATCCCCTGGGCATCAGCGTCCCCAGGAAAAAGATGTTTGGGAAGAAATGGATGCAAACAGAAACAAAATAAAACTTGGGGTCTGTAAGGTACTTATGGAATTGTGTAATTGTGAATACCATCGCTGAACAGTTTCCCGTCCTCATAGTACACAAAAGACATTAATAATACAGTCTTATTAATACTGATTAGCCAGAATTGTCTAAGAAAACAGGATTTGTAGTAGAGCTACCACTTTTTATTAGAGTGATCTAGATATTGAAGCAAGCAGACAAGCTTCTTCACTTTATCAGGTTTTTATTAATGAATAGTAGCTTACTGATAATTTGAGATACTTTTTAGATTATTTGTATAAGTGAATGCTGCTTAATTTTGAAAAGTAGTCTCTGAGAAGCAGTTCCTGTCTTCCTTGATCACAATCACAACAGTTCATACTCAGACAAATGTAGCCCTGTTTCTTGATATAAAAATGTTTTGAACATGAGGAAACATTCTTTAGCTAGGAAAGCTCTCTGGTTTTGAGGCTGCTACTTCTTGTTTACTAGAAAAAAAATGTATTGTGGGAAAGAATAAGGCATGGTGCGTATTTTCAAATGTGCACATTTGTTTGTTCTTTGCCAAAGAGGGAGAAAAGAGATTGTTCTGGTTTAAAAAAGGTGAATTTCTATTAGTTATACCTGTTGAAACTAAGGATGATCATGATTTCCCAGATCTAAGTCATATCCAGTTAATATACAAGATGGAATGCAGTTGGACTACAAAATAGTTCTGAGTCACAGAAATATCAAGTAGATTTAGTGTAGAACAGAAATATTTAGCAGGTTTAGTGCTGTATGCTCCAGAGAATCATAAAGACAGCTTCAAAGCTAACTTACCTTTAATAAGAGCACTTGGCTGTAAAGCACACTGAAGTTGCCACGAAGTGCCAGTTTTCAGACTGTTGTTAAAATTTCAGAGATGGGTGTGAAATATCATTTTTAAGTGTATTACTGAGTTTCTGAGACTCCTCAGACCTACCCAGAACTAGTATATTACTATTATTTTGTATATTGCAGGTGTGTGTTGAAGAGCACATCTAAACCGTGTTAATTATAGCATGAACTTAAGGACCATTCCAAATACAAATTAGCTTATCACAGGTTAAAACCCTGGACTGTGTTCATAGAATCATAGAACGGCTTGGGTTGGCAGAGACCCTAAAGATCATCTGGTTCCAATGCCCCTGCCATGGCTAGGGACAGCTACCACTGGACCAGGTTGCTCAAAGCCCCATTCAGCCTGGCCTTGAACACCTCCAGGGATGGAGCATCCACAGCTTCCCTGGGCAACCTGGGCCAGCATCTCACCACCCTCATAGTGAAGAACTGCCTAATCTCCAATCTAATTTCTTCTCTTCCAATGTGACCCCACCACCCCTCGTCCTGTCACTACAAGCCCTAGCCAAAAGTCCCTCCCCAACTTCCTCCCAGGCACCCTTCAGGTACTGGCAGGCACCCAGAAGGCCTCCCCAGGGGC